ATATTGACCCTGGACCAAAGCCTGTTCCGCGGCCCTGTCCAATCAAGACATCACGAGCTGTTGTGCTAAGTAGCGGACTTGGAAATGCTTGTATAAAACGCTCGTATTCAGCGTAATGATCGGGGCTTTTTGGAAATGAAACATTTGCGGCAAGGGTGCAAGGACATTAGATCGTAAACTGTGGGTGAATAAAATGCCCTTCGGATGGATTTTCTGTGCGCAAACCGCTTTTGCGTGGACAACGGTCGAATTCGTAGTGTGCAGCCTTGGCCCCGTCTTATGAAGGGAATAACAGTGATAGCAAGTAAGCCACTAATCTTACGTGTAAAATGTTGATCTTTCGGAATATTTAGCGTTCTAGTTCGACCATATTTCCTTCTCCATACAATCCCTTATAAAGCGTTTAAATTCTCAACGGCTCCTCGCGTAGCCTAACACCGTGTCAGTTCAGACGAACCAGGAATCTTTCCGCCCTGGACTCACACAACGCGCGCGTGACGCTTTCATGAATAAATACGTACGCGTCCGAGAATTGATTTATGTTTCGCTTTTCTCGAGACGTGATCTTGGGACGTCTGTGTAAAGACAAGACCCAGATTCCAAAGCAAAACTACTACAATTATTAGTTGAGTAAGGCGCGACGGAGCTTTGGTGACGAAGTTTTGACCTTAAAATTACGGTGATTCCACGGGCATTTTTCCTCGTTTGCAGTGGTAACAATGCCTTATATCGAAAAATCCAGGAGTGACAGGAGTTGCTGGTGGTACAAAAATGGGCTGAAATAAAATTCCTTGGAAATTGATTCAGTGTTGTCGGTTTCATTGAAGGGGCGTAATAAACTGAAAATTAACAGCATTGAATATTAAAGCACGATAGTCTTACTCTTGCCTCGTTATCGAATTTCATTTATTCTGAGTCACTTAGAGAGTAAATTAGGCCACGACAGCTGCCACTTTCATTGGACGAGCGCAAAACAAAAACTGTATTTTAACGTAAGTTTGTATGACGAACAATAGTTATTAACATTTTTTCAGAGTATTGATTATGTTTCAGTGCTCTCTACTTAGGAAATGTTACCACAAGGAGGGGGGGTGAATAGGGGTACATAAATCCTCCGATCCGCCAACATTTTCGTTCAAACCCGAGATCGCATTTTTTGAAAACTTTCTGTGGCGTAACTTCACTGCAACAGTAGTATGTAAGATTATTTTTCCCTCTCGCTTTTGGGGTATGTGCGTCTCTTGTTCTGAACTAGACCGGAGGACATTGCAATATTTTGGAAATTATGGGACGATAACTCAAGTCCTAATCTTAAGACAATGGATAACTGATCTAACAGATTTGTCACTTGGTTTTGTGTGAGAAAGAAACAGGAGTGTAACAGTTCATCGGTACATAAACTGTTAAATGTGAATGCCATTGTGAAGTTCGCAAAAATTGTAAAGAATTCCACATACTGGATAAGGATCACACAATTCCAATAACAACGTCAAATCCGAGTTTAAATAATGAGTTTCGTTCGAAAAAAGAAATAAAGTCAATGAAACTTGAACGTACCGACCAAAGATCTATGATCAAAACTTCGTCGAGGATCCATGATCTGAACTTCAAGAGATGTATAGTCCGGAATCCGCGCTGAAATTCACAGCTGATCCACGATCCGCCGTATTTTAGAAATCCGCGAATCCGCTCAATTTATCGCGTAAGTCCGCAATCCGTGCGCTTTTAAAGGCCAAATCTGTCGATCGGCCAACCTATTCACCCCCTGCCCAAGATAGTCATACGCTACAAAATTTTAACTGGTAGTTTGCGAAATGTTGTTAGCCACTTTAACGCATGGTACTAAAGAAAGTTTGCGAAATGTTAATTTGCACGTTGAGAAATATAGCTTGGTACTTTTCCAAATGGCCCTCTGAGGTGCTTCGCGAAATGGTACTTCATGTTACTTTGCGACATGTCACTTTATACTCCATGACATATTCCTTGATAAAGTGGCGGATCTTCGTGTGGTGTTCATTGTTTTCGCTATGGGCTGACTTTGGTCGGCATATTTC